ATATTAAATTTGTTACAAAGGTGCATGAAGCAAGGGACAATGCTTTTTCTTATAACTGGTACAACAAATAGTATTTAGAGAGGCCTAATGTTTAGACACAATGGCTCATAAACAGGTAACAGGTTGTAAGATGTAATTTCATCTTCTAACTCACAGAGTAAGAGCTCAGGCTTGGTAACTGGTATTTACTCTTCTTTCAACACAGAGAAGCTCAACTCTGAGAGCACATAACAATCACTTGGGGGTTTTAAAAAAATGTATGCTTGGGCTTCATCCCAGAAAAGAAATTAGAGAGAATCTTTCCCAGTGGACCAGGGTATCAGTTGTTTTAAAAGCAACTTAACTAAAACTATAAAACTCTTAGAAGAAAACAGGGAAAAATGACAATGAATCTGACAATGATTTCTTGGGTATGATATCAAAAGCACAGGCAATACACAGAAAAAACAGATCAGTTGAACTTTCTAAAAATCAAAAACTTCCATAAGGCAAAGAACACTACCAAGATAGTAAAAAGGCTATCTTTTCCTCCATGGAACAGGAGAAAATACTGGCCAAGCAACATCTGATAAGAGATTTAGTATCTAGAACACACGCACACATGCACACACAGTCACCATCACCACTCACTGGGGAAATGCAAGTCAAAACCACAATGTCATACCATTTTATCCACATCGGTAAGGCTGCTATCAAACAACAACCTCCAGAAAATAACATGTATTAGTAAGAATGTGGAGAAGTTGGAACCCTTATGAATTGCTGGTGGGAATGTGAAATGGTTTAGCTGCTATGCAGAACAGTGTGGTGATCCTCAAAAAATAAACAGAATTACTTTATGATCTGCCAATTCTACTTCTGATTATATACTCAAAAGAAGTGAAAGCAGGGACTAGAATAAATATTTGTATATGCAAGTTCACAGCAACATTTTTAGCAAGAGCCAAAAGGCAGAAACCCAAACGCCCACTGATGAATGAATAAACAAATGTGGTGTCTACGGACCATGGAATATTACTTGGCTATAAAAAGAAAGGAAATTCTCACATATGCTCTAACAAGGATGAACATTCAAGAGATTATACTAAGTGAAATAAGCAAGATGCAAAGTACAAATATTACATGATTTCACTGAGGTACAGAGAATAGTCAAAATTTTACAGAAACAGAAAGTAGACTAGTGGTTGCCAGGGGCTGGTTGGTGAGGGTGATGCAGTTAGTGTTTAACGAGCATAGGGTTTCAATTTGGGAAGATGGGGAAAAGTTCTGTTGGTGGTGATGGTTGTACAAAAATGTGAATGTATTTAATGACCCTGAACTGTATGCTTAAAGATGCTTTATGGTAAATTTTATGTACATTTTACCATTATTAAAAAACAAAACCACTCGGGTAATTCTAATTTGCAGGTGAGAGCCAGTGTTCCAAAGACTAAACACATAAGCCAAGGATGGAGAAACATAACAGATTAATGTAAAAATATGTCCAATACAAGTGAGGTAGATCTGGTTTCTGATAAGAGGAAGGGAAAAATCTATAATCTTGGGTGGGGGGGAGCCTTGTCTTGAGATGGTGTTTTGTGATAAATAACTGCAGTCTGTGGTGCCTGGGTCAGCAACCCCAGAGCTTACCCGCCTTCACCCCTTGAAGTTATCACTGGGGCTGAAACAGACTTCGACAGTGGTTCTCCAAACAGGCTGCCCATTGCAGTGACCAGGGAGATTTTTAAAAAACTGGTTGGATCAGTTTCTGGGGTGGGGCTGCATAGTCAGTTTTTTACAAGTGTCCCCAGTGATTCTCAAATGCAGCCAGTTTGACACTCATGGGAGTCTGGTCTGTCCTTTGTCCTTTTGCATTACTCAAGAATCATCAACACCCACTAAGACATTTGAGGATCACAAGTATTTCATGGAAGAAAAACAGACTGGATTATAAATTGTATCAAGCTGTGTGCTTACAGAATAAAATAGATTAAGAATGTAAACTTCTTCTAATAACATCAGAATGCAAAAAGAAGCAAAAAATAAAGAAATAATAAGTATAAAGAATATAAAAATTGTATAGTCTGCCAAAAGAAATGCTCAATCTAATAAATGAATTTGGCAAAACTGCAAGATACAAAGTCAATACTCAGAAATCAAAGGCATTTTTGTATACCAACAATGAAACAACAGAAACAGAAATCAAGAAAAAAAAATCCCATTTGATACAGCAACATGAAAAACAAAATACCTAGGAATAAACTTAACTAAGGATGTAAAAGACCTAACTCAGAAAACTATACAACACTGAAGAAAGATACCAAGGAAGACACAAACAAATGGAAACATATACTGTGTTCATGGATCAGAAGAATTAACATCATCAAAATGTCCATACTAACCTAAACAATTTACAGATTCAATGTACCAACCTATTAAAGTACCAATGGCATATTTCACAGACATAGAACAAACACTTCAAAAATTTATGTGGAACCATAAAAGGCCCCAAATAGCAGCTGCACTTTTGAGAAAGAAGAACAAAGTAGGAGGGATCATAATACCCGATATCAAACTGTATTACAAGGCCACTGTAATCAAAACAGCCTGGTACTGGCATAAAAACAGACACACAGACCAATGGAACAGAACAGAGAGCCCAGAAACAAACCCAAGTCTCTACTGTCAATTAATTTTCAACAAAGGGGAGAGCAGCACAAAATGGAGTAAAAATAGCCTCATCAACAAATGGTGTTGAGAGGTCTGAACAGCTACGTGCAAAAAAATGTAACTGGAGGTACATACACCAACGTACACTACACATAAAAATAAATTCAAGGTGGATAAAAGATTTACATATAAGTCATGACACCATGAAAGTCCTCAAGGAGAATATAGGCAGGAAAACCTCAGATATTTCACGCAGCAGTATTTTAACTGTTATGTTCCCTAAAGCAAGGGACATAAAGAAAAGAATAAACAAATGGGATCTCATCAAAATTAAAAGCTTCTTTCTTTAGCAGAAAACAGTATTAAAATAAAAAGAGAACCAACCTTATGGGAAAACATATTTGCCAATGATACCTCAGACAAGGGTTTAATCTCCAAAATATATAAAGAACTCATATGACTCCACTCTAAGACAAGCAATCCAATTAAAAAATGGGCAAAGGACTTGAACAGACACTTCTCCAAGAAGGACAAACAGAGGGTCCAGAGACATATGAGAAGATGCTCAGTATTGCTAGCTATCGGAGAGATGCAACTTAAAGCCACAGTGAGATACTACTTCACACCATTGAGAATGGCCATTATAAACAAAGCAACAAACAACAAATGTTGGAGAGGTTGTGGAGAAAAGGGAACCCTAGCGCACTGTTGGTGGGATTGCAGATTGGTACAACCACTATGGAAAACAGTATGGAATTTTCTAAGAAAACTAAAAATGAATCTGCCTTTTGACCCAGCAATTCCACTGCTATGGTTATACCCTAAGAACCCTGAAACACCAAACCAAAAGAACCTATGCATCCAAATATTCATAGCAGCACAACTGACAACAGCCAAGTGCTGGAAGCAACCTAAGTGCCCATCAGTAAATGAATGGATCACAAAACGATGGCACATTAAACAATGGACTTCTATGCAGCAGAGAGAAAGAAGGAGCTCCTATCCTTGGCAACAGCATGGATGGAACTGGAGAGCATTATGCTGAGTGAAATTAGCCAGGTGGGGAAAGACAAATACCATATAATCTCAACTTTAACAGGAACCTAATCAACAAAAGGAACAAGCAAAATGTAACCAAAGACAATGAAATAGAGAACAGGCTGACAGTGACCAGAGGGGAGAGGGGAGGGAATTTCAGGGGAAAGGGGTGAGGGGTTTGCAGGAACAAGTATAAAGGACACGTGGACAATAACGAGGTGGGGGATAGAAACAGGAGGGAGGTGGGGAGGGCTGGGGGGTTGGGGTACAGGGAAAAGGCAGAAAACTGCACTTGAACAACAGTTAAAATTATTTTAAAAAAGAATATAATGATTGAACTAAAAAACACAATAGATGGGGTAGATAATAGGACGTATACACCTGAGGAATGACAAGATTGAAGTGTTCTCTCAGAAGGAAAAAAGAGACAGAACACCAGAAAATACAGCTGAGGAAGACTAACACCCACAGGAAAGATGTTCCAGAAAAGAAAAAAGATAGTAAGAAGAATACAGTTGAACAAATAATAATGATAAAGATATTTCTCAAGAATAAGATGAAAAAGCTCAGAATGACAGGGTCACCTCTCAGAGTATCAGACAGGAAAGGAAAAACCCACACTTGGCAACACTTGTAAATCGTAGAATATGAAAGACAAAAGATTTAACAGATGCATAGCACTAGGCAGTAGGTAGTAAGTGCTTATTAAATATTCAATAAAAGCATGAAATAAAGACATCATCGATCTTTATGAGGCAGTTATACTAGATCCAATTCTATTAGGGGAAAAAAGAACTTGATTAAAATAAATGATTATGGTAAGAACCCAATGGGGACATTATAATGTTAGTCAAGTGTCCTATACTCCATGACAACCTACCTATAGTTGAAATAGATCCTGGCCAAATGAAGTTTTATCTGTTTTTATATTTCTATTTAGCTAAGTAACTATTTTCAGGAATACCTGAAATATCTATTCTCAAGGTAGGTTTCAGTAAAGACAGATCTTGGCTAACTCAGGTGTGCATGTATGAACACAGCACACTGAATCACTGTTTCAGGACACACTACAGGCCCAGCATGCTGTTTATGTGTATGTATGCCAGGAGTGGTGGAGATGAAGAGAATGAAGTAAGTAAGGATTTAACTGGCAAACACTTGCAGTTTTCTCATAACAGTCAGAAAGCCAGGGACTGCTCATAAACACATTATCAATTAAAGCAATACTCTGTTATTCTCTTTTTTAAAATCCACTCTTTGTAACAGTTATACCTGTTACAAAGGCTCATAGAAGTTTTTCAGTAATGGCTTACCTGGTCAATATCAGCATTTCTTGGAAGAAAATAAACAATATTATTAGTGATCTTCTGGGAAAGTCTGAAAATTTCAAAGGTGGACAACAGTTAAGGAAAAGTGACAAAAACAGCAGTTAATTTCTGATCAAGCTGTTTTCTTGTATCATAACTCAAACTTGTATTTTGATGTGTGCTTAATAAAGCACACGTTTAAGTAGCTGATTTTGTAACTCAGAAGCACACTATCCCTGACAGGTCCGAGGTTAGAAATTAAAGCTATTTTTCATTTATCTTAGTGGTAGACAACTAAGAGTCAGAAAATACACATTCTTTCGCCTCCTGCCATTTCCTAGTTTGTGTACAAACAGAACAGGAAAGCACAATACTAACTGTTTCCAGTAAGAAATAAAGATAAATAACTGTTCATTATAGACTACATTCTAAATTTTAACTACGAATTTAGAAACATATTTCCTGTTAGAATCAAAGAGATGACTCCTCTGGAAAGCAGAGAGAAAGGGACAAATAATATAAATATATAATATTTATATATTATAAACTCATAATAATATAAATTCTTTATGAAATAAGGGCTTGCTTCAATATCTTGGAAGAGTAACTAGAAAAATTTCAAGATAAAAAATTAGCACAGGTGTGAATGGAAGAACAGTCAAACAGTCATCCACACTTTAGTAACAGGTCTCCACAAAATTGCCAATTTGCAGACAATAATTCCAAATAATTAATGCTTTCTCATTCTTCTTTTGTAACTGTAAAAATAGATAGTAACCAAGAGAAATATCTCTCACATGTGCTGTAACTTTTAGAGATCCATCACCAGTTAACTTTTTCGTATGTGTTTCTTATGTAAAAGAAACTAGGCTCTATCAAACGCTATTAGCTCCTCTCTTCCTTACTAATTTTCTCTCTTTCAAACACAAACATACAACCCTTCCTCTCTACAACCACTGTTTGAGAAAACTCTTCGAACTTCCAAAGGATATCCATCAGGAGACATCATTGTCCTAATGTCAAAGGTCTCTGCAGTGGCATAGTCTGGCCCTCCCCAAGGGGGGCTGAGGAACACAACATCGGCTTTTAAACGAGAAGCCAGCAGCAGGAAATCTCCACAGATGAACTCAATCTTGTCTGCTATCCCATAAACTTCTGCATTATTGCGAGCAAGATCAATCTTAACAGGATCAATATCAATGGCAATCACTAAAAATGGAAACATGAAAGATAAGTCAAATGATACTGATTAGTAGTTACATGGAATAGTTCATCTTCTGATCAGTGTGTCTATTTAATGACAAGAATCTTTTTTTAAAGTCTTGGGAGGGAGATTTGGTCTTGCACACCACCCAGAGTTGCCACTAAGTATCTACTGAGAGACAAACAGGTGGTCAGCACTGCGCTTTGTGCTGGGTACAGGTGGAGCAGCAAACACATGGAAAGGCCCCCATCTCTATGTAAAGCCTATAAATGCTAAGATTTCAAAAAAGACCAATCTCCTCAAAATCAGGCAACCACCAAAGAAGACAAATTTGACAGCTTCCACAGAAAAGCAAAATAAAACAAGCTTTGACAAACCTCTTTAGCCAACTTATGAAGAAGAAATGTACAAGTCTGCTGATGACATTTAATGAGACATTTAGGTAGAAGGAACAGACAACCTTATGTTTTCACCAAATGGGCTTTCATTTGATTCACTGCAATTTCATAATTAGCAATGCAAACATAAGTTAAATTTAGCTCATTCATGTCTTGCAGTAAGTGCATCTGTATATGCAGCCGTGGGTTACTGGCAATATTTTCTATTTGGAAGGGCCGAGTGGAACCCTGATGCATGCACCATGGTTGCCAAGGAAACACAGCTGTTTTCCAGACATGCTGGTTTCAAATTTGTTAACACTGTTGAGAAATAATGCACAAAATAAACTTGAACAATAAATATAAGCACCAATTGTACGTTGCAAAAATCATGCATTTACAAATACTATTTTTGTGTTCTAAATAAACTAAAATTTGTATTTATAAGAGAAATATGTCCTTTTCAGCTGTGCAATCTGCTACATTGATAGTCCAGAGGGAAAGACGCTGACACTACCAAAAATTCAATGAAAAAATGACTTTCAACATCAAATATATTCAGTTAATCCTCATTTTTAGGACGTCCCTTGCAAGCTGACTTTGTTTTCAAGCCTGACAGAACGCAAGAAGTCAGTGTCCTCACATATAACTCAAATGCTGACAAATGTTGGATAACACTATATAGGACTGCACGGTCCAATAATGGGAGCCACTAGCCACGTGTGGCTATTACCTTTAAATTATCAAAATTAAATAATGTTACGAACTTAGCTTCTTAGTCACATGGCCCCATTTCATACCCTGGCTGATGTGGCTTAGTGGGTTGAGTGCTGGCCTGTGAACCAAAGGGCTGCTGATTAGATTTTTAGTCAGGGCACACGCCTGGGTTGTAGACCAGCTTCCCAGTAGGGGGCACTTAAGAGGCAACTACACATCGATGTATTTCTCCCTCCCATTCTCCCTGCCTTCCCCCTCTCTAAAAATAAATAAATGAAATCGTAAAAAAATATAAAATGATGTCCAAAGTCATAATAATAGTGAGTGGCAAAACTGGGATTCCCTGTCTATTCTTCTTTTCTTCTAGAGCACAGTCTCCCCATTTTAATGTTTTATTTTTCTGTTATGTTTTAATCTTGGCTCCACCAAACTGGAACTGCGTAATTACTTCACAAGATCATTGACTAAATAAATTAATAAATATTAAGCACATATACTAGTATGACAGAAAGTGTATACTTCATATATGCTAGCTATTACTATTTTAAATATCTGGCATTAATTATTAAGTGCATATTAAATGTCAGTAAAAACAAGGTGAAGCAAAATGAAACATTTACTGAATAAATTATATAATTTACTTTTCTTCCTTTGATGGCTTGGCTAATTACCTCTCTTTCCAGTTAAGGCAAACTGAATTGTATTTCCTCCAACTCCACAAAATGCATCCACTACAATGTCGCACTTGAAGGACTGACTGACCCGGCCAGCAATGTGTTCAGCAATCTTTTCAGGTGTAACTGAAAACCAGCCCTCTACGAAGGAAGAGTATTTCTGTTAAATTAAAATGTTCAATTTCAAGAAGCCAAGGCAAGAATAAACATAGCAAACATTACCATGTAATATATACGAAAAAAGAAAAAAAAACCTTTGTTCTCTTTTCAAGACTATAAATAACCTAGTTTTAAAGAAAAGTTCTACAAAGCTTATTACAAAAAAGAAATACATTCCCATTCTCATTTTCATACAAAAAAGAAATACATTCCCATTCTCATTTTCATACAAAAAAGAAATACATTCCCATTCTCATTTTCCATGGAAACTAACCACCTTAATTCTGGCCTGATTCTTTTGCAATGTATCTCCAATAACTGACTGTAATACTGATTTTTATCTTTGAAGTATTAACTCCTGACTGTCTACTATAGAAAATAAAAAGTCATTCTAATTGGCCAGCTCCCCAAACTCCACTGAGTTTCTCAATTAATTCATTCCTAATGAGGAAGCAAGGAACCAGATTTGTATTGGATACTTTAGAAAAATTCAAACATTTCTAAAGGGCCAGGAAAAGCAAGGAGTTACAGCAAAAGCTGCAAAACTGTAGGAGTAGCAGAAGCAGCATCATTTTCAGAAATGAGGTCCCCTGTCCCATGACCACCCCAGAGGAAAGAAGATATTGCCCTCCTTCTTTTGCAATAGAAAAAAATTCATATTTTGAAGAAAGGTATTTCTCTGATGCACCAATTTTCCTGTTTCTTTTTTCTTACCAAAACATTAAATGGTTCCTCATTGCTGGAAGAAAAAAAACCAAAAAACAGTACCTCGTTTTACAGAATTAAAAGTTGTTCTGTGATGTTTATTGATTTTTTAGAGAAAGAAAGGGGGAGAGAGAAAAACACTGATGTGAGAGAGAAACACTGACTGCCTCCCACACGTGCTCCGACTGGGGACAGAACCTGCCGTCTAAGTGTGCACCCTGACTGGGAATCAACCCGCAAGCTTTAGTGTACCAGATGCCACTCCAACAACTAACTGAGTCCCCTGGCCAGGGCCAGAATAAAAAGGTTTTATCTACTCTTATTTGTCCTAACAAACTCCTTTGCACTTTTTTCAATACATAACACTTTATAAATAATTACAAGAGGCTCACAGACCCCTGAAATTCCATCAGTGACCAAGATTTCCTAATTTTCATAATTAACACACACCTAATTTAAGTAGTTCCAATATGAAAATAAGCATCAACTTGCAGAACTGATAAGTTAGCTGTTCTAAGTCAGAACAGGAAAACTCACAGTTCCTAGTGTTAATTCATTAAATTATGAGAAGATGGCAGCAAGGCAGGTGGGAGCAGAGCCCAGGTCTCCCTGTGCCCACTGGAACACCTGGCCAACCTTCTGAGCAACAGAGTGAACGGCCACAGGAATCCCAGCTTATATGAAATTTGGAGGCAAAAAATTGCAGAGGACATAGAACAGACAGCGAGGAGACTGCACTGGGACAGTAAGGTCCCTGGGATCTGTGTGGGGACCAAGGCTGCAGGTGGACCCCCGGCCTGGCACCTGCCACAGGTTATGGGGAGGAGAGTTAGAGCACCATCTCCCTCCCCTACCAGAGCAGGGAGGGCAGCCCAGCAGGGGAAGGCAGCTGGATGCTGGAAGGCACTGAGGGGAATAGAGATGACGTGGGAAACCCAGAGGTGGTACACATCCACTGGGACTGTGGGTGCTGGCACCAGAGAAATTGGGATGCCCAGAGTTATGTGGAGAAGGGAGGCGTTGGGCCGCGGTAGACCCTGACTCGGATAGTCTCAGGACTGGCTGGAAAGTGGGGCTGTGTGAAAAGCCAGGCGCTAGTTGGGAGCTGTGGGCAGCTGCTCTGTAAGGATCCCTCAAGCATTGAGGGTCGGCTGGTGCGTCCAGAGGGTGATTTCAGCTGCGCGCGCCCAGAGTGAGGGGCTAGGCAGAACCACGCTCCCCCTTTGTCTCAGGGTCCACGCTGGAGACTGACTCACGCTGCAAGCAGCCGAGTGGCTGATCTGAGCCTAAGCCTGGCAGCTCACAGAAGACGTGGGCCGGAGGCCAGGAAACTGTGAATATTGCCATCCAGACCTGGTCCCCATCCTCTCAGAAGCAAAGGAAGGGAGAAAAGTGAAGCCCAGCTCCCTTCTTCCTGTGATATCCAGGAAGACCAGCAGAATTCGCTAAACAGCTTTAAAGCCAGCAGAAGGCTTATTATTATTTTTTAATTTTTCTTCTTTTTAGATCCTCTCTCTTTCCCCCCCCTTTTCTCTTCTACCACCAAGTGAGACAATAAGACGTGGAGTTACAAAGGGTCCAGAGACAGATCCAAAGGGGAAGCACAAGGTTAACCCCCAAAATTGAGAAACTGAGACAAATGTCACTTTGCTATCCCATAGACCTGGCATTTTATTGTATGTGTATTACTATTATCTTGTCATTATTTTTACCACTTTTATTTTATTAGTATTTTTTATTTCTCTTCCTTATGTTTAGTTTTCCTCATTTTATTTCCCTGCTTAATTGCACTGTTTGACTGGTTTTCCTTCTTCTTTCTTTATTGTATTTTAATTTTCCTTCTTTCACTTCACCTGTGTTCCAAAATACACAATTCTTTTTTTTTAAAGATTTTATTTATTTATCTTTAGAGGGGAAGGGAGGAAGAGAGGGAGAGAAATATCAATGTACAGTTGCCTCTTGTGTACCCCGTCCTGGGAACTGGCTCGCAACCCAGGCAGGTGCCCTGACTGGGAACTGAACCGTGATCCTCTGGTTCGTAGGCCCTCACTCAATCCACTGAGCTACACCAGCCAGGGCCCAATAACACAATTCTTGATCGTGTACCTTCTATTCTGTTTATCCAAATCATATATTTCTTGTCATATTATCGTTCTTCCAGTACTGTTGTAAATAATTGTGGTTCCATACAAGTGTACATACTAGACAGCAACACTCTCTGATCTGAGCCCACTTCACTATTCCTGAGCATTAGTATTGTGGTTAACTCTACTCTTTCTCACATGACACCTACTTTCTATCCTTTACTCTCACTATATCTTATCATCTAACCTTGCACAAGTGCTCTGTTTTCTGGATTCAGCATACAATCCTCCTCCCCTCTAACAAGAATCCTATCTCTCTTTCACCTTTTATGAAAAGTGGCTAGTTGGGTGAAATATCTCAGTTAACACTATACTTATGCAAAGGATCTCCTATCACTTCTCTACATACTGGTACTTTAAATCCCACAAAATACTCTCCCACTGTCTTAATCCAATTTGCCTACCCCCCACCACTGATCACAGACAAGAATACGTGGGAGCTGCAAACATCACTATACCTGCTGGAGGAGATAACCACCAACAAAGGAACAACCAAAAGGTAAAAATCCAAGTACAACAAGAGAGCCCACACAAACAGAGAAAGGGCAATACTAGAGCATCCAGACAAGGAAATCAGAGACCATACCACTGAATACCATAGAATTCCTACCATAGAAGTTCACCCTACAAAGACAGCTAGCAAAGTGAAACATCGGGAAGCACAGAAACAAACAAAAAGAGTCACCTAAACTGGGGAGACAAAAAAGAACATGTAATCAAAAGGAATGGAAGACTCCCCACTAAAAGAGCTACATGAAATGAAGGTAAACAAACTATCAGATACAGAATTCAAAATAATGGTAATGAAGATGCTGAAGAAAACTCACAGACAACTGCAAGGAACTGAGTGAAAAGTACATCAGCATGAAAAAGGAAACAGAAACTATAAACAAAAACCAGGAAAAAAAAGAACAATAAAATCTCAGAAATAAAAACCACATTAGGAGAAATTATAAGCAGGCTGTATGAATCAGAGGATAGAATCAGTGAGCTGGAGGATAAGGTAGAAAAAAAGACCCAGATAGAGCAGGAAAAGGAAAAGAGATGGATCTTCCAAACAAAGTATCAACAAGGATATTGAGGCATTCGACAATGTTCTAGATTGACTGGACTTAACTGGTATGTATAGAACCCCTCATCCCAAACAAGCTAAATACACATTCTTTTCAAATGCACATGGAACATTTTTAAAAGACCACACGATAGGATACAAAACAAACCTCAACAAACTCAAGAAAACCGAAATCATATCAAGCATTTTCTCTGACCACATAGGAGTGAAAGTAGAAACCAACCTCAAGGAAAAAACTCAAAAACACTCAAACTCATGGAGATTGAATAGAATGCTATTAAACAATTAATGGGTCAAGAATGAGATTGAGGAGGAAATAAAAGTGTTTCTGGAAACAAATGAAAATAAACTCAAGACAAGCTAAAACTTATGGGACACAGCAAAGGCAGTCCTGAGAGGGAAGTTCATAGAGATACAGACCTAGCTTAAAAAAAAAAAAAAAAGAAACATTTCAAATAAACAACCTAACCTTACGCCTATAAGAACTCGAGGAACAACAACAAAGACATCCAGAGCAAGTAGAAGGAAGGAAATAACCAAGATCAAAGCAGAATTCAACAACATAGAGCCTAAAAGCACAATTCTAAAAATCAATAAATCCAGAAACTGGTTCTTTGAGAAGATAAACAAAACTGACAAGACTTTAAGCAGGATCATCAAGAAAAAAAGAGGACCCAAAAAACACAATCAGAAGTGAAAGAGGAGAGATTGCAACTGATACCACATAAATACAAAGGATTGTAAGAAATTACTATGAAAAACTATATGCCTAGAAACACAAAAATTTCACTAGGTGTCCATTTCACTAGGTGAAATGGACAAATTTCTAGAAAAATATAATCTTCCACAACTTAATGAAGTAGAAGCAGAAAGCCTGAACAGACCAATAACAGCTGATGAAACTGAGGCAGTAATAAAAAAACTTCTGACATGCAAAAGCCCTGGACTGGACGGTTTCACAGGAGAATTCTACAAAGCATTTAAAGAAGAGCTAACCCCTATCCTTCACAGACTATGCCAAAAAAATCCAAGAAGACAGAAGACCCCCCAAACTCTTTTTCTAGACCAGCATCATCCTAATCCCAAAACTAGATAAAGACACAACAAAGCAAGAAAACTTCAGGCTAATACCACTGATTAACATAGATGCTAAAATACTCAACAAAATATTAGCAAACTGCATCCAACAATACATTAAAAAGACCATACAACATGACCAGGTAGGATTTATCCCAGGGATGCAAGGATGCTACAATATTAGCAAATCAATAAACATAATACATCACATAAACAAAAGCAAAGGCAAATATCACATGATCATATCAACGGACGAGGAAAAAGCATTTGATAAGGTACAGCACCCCTTTGGGAACATTCCTCGGCCTAATAAAGGCCATAATATGAGAGACCTACAGCCAAAATGATACTCAATGGACAGAAACTAAAAGCTTTTCCACTAAGATCAGGAACAAGACAAGGTTGTCCACTTTCTCCACTTCTATTCAACATGGTATTGGAAGTCCTAGCCACAGCAATCAAACAAGAAAAAAAATAAAGGCATCCAAATTGCTAAAGAGAAAACAAAACTGTCATTGTTTGTAGATGACATGATAGTGTACACAGAAAACCCTATAGACTCCACCAAAAAACTGTTGGACCTAATCAATGAATTTGACAAAGCAGTGGGATACAAAGTCAATATCCAGAAACCAAAGGCATTTTTTGTATAGCAACAATGAAACATCAGAAACAGAAGTCAGGAAAAAAAGTCCCATTTGATATAGCAACAAGAAAAATAAAATACCTAGGAATAAGCCTAATTAAGGAGGTAAAAGACCTACACTCAGAAAACTACAGAACACTGAGGAAAGAAATCAAGGAACACAAACAAATGGAAACATATACCGTGTTCATGGATTAGAAGAATTAAAATCATCAAAATGTCCATACTACCCTAAGCAATTTAAAGATTCAATGCAATATTTATTAAAGTACCAATGGCATATTTCACAGACATAGAACAAACACTTCAAAAATTTATATGGAACAATAAATGACACTGAATAGTGCAGCAATTTTGAGAAAAGCAGAGCAAAGCAGGAAGGATGACAATACCTGATATCAAACTGTATTACAAGTCCGCTGTAATCAAAACAGCCTGGTACAGGCATAAGAACAGACACAGGGAACAATGGAACAGAATAGAGAACCCAGAAATAAACCCAAGTCTCTATAGTCAATTAATTTTCGGCAAAGCTGGCAGCAACAATAATAGCCTCTTCAATAAATGGTGTTGGGAGATCTGGACAGCTACATCCAAAAAAAAGAAACTCAAGCACCAACTTACACCATACATAAAAATAAATTCAAGGTGGATAAAGGATTTAAATATAAGCCGTGACACCATGAAAGTCCTAGAGGAGACCATATTCAGGAAAACCTCAGATATTTCACACAGCAGTATTTTCACTCACATGTCCCCTAGAGCAAAGGACATAAAGGGAAGAATAAACAAATGGGATCTCATCAAAATAAGAAGCTTCTGCACAGCTAAAAAAATCATCATTAAAATGACAAGAGAACCAAATATGTGGGAAAACATATTTGCCAATGATACCTCAGACAAGGGTTTGATCTCCAAAATATACAAAGAACTCACAAGACTGCACTCTAAGAAGACAAGCAATCCAATTAAAAAATAGGCAAAGGACTTGAACAGACACTTCTCCAAGAAGGACAAACAGAGGGTCCAGAGACATATGAGAAGATGCTCAATATCACTAGCTATCAGAGAGATGCAACTTAAAACCACAGTGAGATACCACTGCACATCGGTAGAATGGCCAGCATAAACAAAGCAACAAACAACAAATGTTGGAGAGGTTGTGGAGAAAAGGGAACCCTAGTGCACTGTTGGTGGGACGGCAGACTGGTGCAGCCACTATGGAAAACAGTATGGAATTTTCTAAGAAAACTAAAAATGAATCTGCCTTTTGACCCAGCAATTCCACTGCTATGATTATACCCTAAGAACCCTGAATCACCAGTCCAAAAGAACCTATGCACCTCAATGTTCACAGCAGCACAACTGACAATAGCCAAGTGCTGGAAGCAACCTAAGTGCCCATCAGTAAATTAATGGATCAAAAAACTGTGGTACATTTACACAATGGAATTCTATGCAGCAGAAAGAAAGGAGCTACTTACTACCCTTTGCAACAGCATGGATGGAACTGGAGGGCATTATGCTAAGTGAAATAAGTCAGGTGGTAGAAGACAAATACCATATGATCTCACCTTTAACAGGAAGCTAATCAACAAAATGAACAAGCAAGCAAAATATAGCCAAAGACATTGAGAATGAGAACAGGCTGACAGTGACCAGAGGGGAGAGCAAAGGGGATAATGGGGAAAAAGAGTGAAGGGTTTAGAGGAAGAATTATAAAGGACATGTAGACAATAACAAGGGAGTGGGGTGGAAACAAGAAAAGAAGGTGGTGAGGGCTGGGGTGGTGGGGCAAAAAAGCAGAAAACTGTACTTGAACAACATTAAAAATGTTTAAAAAATAAAAATAAAAAATAAATATAAAAATTCATTAACTTACATTATTTCTGCACTATTTATTCATCTGATGTTCTTTTTAATAGCTTGGTTCAATAATCTATCAATTCCTTTTGTTATCTATCCCAATAAGCTACAAATACAGATTAAACCTGAGTCCGAAGTTTTAAGAACACATATATACCCAAAGTGAGGACATTATAGATATTAACTGGTTATTATTCTTTGGAAAATGTCAAAGTTCTGAAAGATAAAAAAGGCTGAGAACTATTCCAGATTAAAGAAAACCAAGGAAACATGAAACTAAATATAAAACATGATCCCATACTAGAAGGAAAAGAATACTATAAAGGACATGATTAGGATAACTGATAAAACTAGAGTATGTACTACAGATGATAGTACTGTAACACTGTTAAGTGTTTAATTTCACCACTGTTACATAAAAACATCCTAGTTCTTAGAAACTACACAGTAAAATTGTAAGTAAAAGGTAGGGGCAACTGGAGCAGGAACACACAGACACACACAGAATGATAAAGCACATGTGCAAAATGTTCAGAAACAGCTGAATCTGGGCAAAGAGGATATGAAAATTTTTCTACATTTGAAATTATTTCAAAATAAAGTTAAACATTACTTATATACAGTTTACCTGTGTCCAGTTTAATCCCGTCATCAAAACGGGAGAAGAGTCTGTACCTCTGGGCCCAGTATTTTGCCAGCTTAGGAACCGCAGCTATCTCAGGAGGCAGACCAATTACCCTTTTGTTCTGTTTTTTCTTCTTCTTCTTTTTAATTTCAGCTACAATAAAAGAATATAAAGAACACGGATGCACACTATGACAAAAAGGAAATGACAGGTGAATTTATATAAAAGTGTAGGTATATCAAATAATTAGAATTTGGGACTGAACTCCAGAATACGTGCGCAACGACACACTTGGAGAAGCAGGAAGGCATAAGGGAAACAGGGCTGACTTTAGATGACAGACTGTCGTTTGCTACTTACTGGTCCCCCAAACTTGGAAAAGTAATCTAGGCTCTCTGAGCTCCAATATTTAATTTCTCAAAAGGAATAAATGGCTGAGTAGTATTTTACCTATTTATTTTAGAAGACATGTACTATTACAGGTGTAAAGGTTAGCACTTCTGTTAGGTAAGATAATGCTTCTATTGGTAAACTCCAGAAATCCAAACATTTCCCTTCCTTTCTTTAAAATAAAACTTCCTAAGGACTGATTAAGCTCTCTCAGCTACCCATATTTTTGCCGTGTGTAACAACTCTACACTATGAGCGTAATAATCCCATGTATAATGATCACCAAAACACGGGTGTGCATTATACACAGCAAAATATAGTACATCCATCCTCTGAATCCAGCCATGACCTAGAACTCATAGTGCTCTGAGAGTCCCATTCAATATAAAAACATTTTATTCAATCAGAAACCGTCTTTTTCTTAAACAATTTTTAATAGTTTAGTTATTTGGCTTCATTGCTGAGGAGATTAGAAGATGACAGTGTTATCAAAGCTAAGTATAATAACAAAAAATGATGTTGACAAATAAAGCTCTACCACATTTAAATGGTCTTCATAAATGGGATCATGTCTTAATACCATCATGTGATCATCACGAATAGCTAAAGGGGTCATCAACAGCAAAGTGCAGCAAGTTTCTTGAGAGACACAACATTAACATTTTGAGTGAACAACCCTTATTGTGCAAGACCATCCTATACACAATTTAGTGTTAAGTAACCCAAAGTATTAAGTGTCAAAATTCCCTAGGTCATTCATTCTAACAACCAACACCTCCCAAATGCTCGAGATGGTGGCACTGTCCCAGGTGAGATCTACCAACATTGTGACAAGTGGTTAGGGAAACAGCAGAAGGTGGGAAGATGGGATTTAGGAATCAGACAACTTGGTACTGACTTCTAGCTATGCCACTTACTGATTCTATGACCTTAGGCAAATTTCTTAATTTCTCTGAGTTTTATTTTTACTTTCCATATTTATAGAATGGAGCTAATTTCTACCTACCTCATTGGGCTACTGTAAGATTAAATGAGAATAAGGCATGTAAGAGCATTTCAGAAATCTGCAAGTGCTCCAGGAACACTAGTTGTACACAAAAAATTGTACAATAACAAACAGTTGCGTAATTAAAAAATTTAACTACCTTAAGTATGCTCTTTAGAAAATCAAGGAAGTATATGATATAGATATCATAGGTCTATAACATGCACATACACACAAAGAAAAAATATAAAGATTCAAATGAGGTATTTTCTTTAATATGAAATTAGGGAAAACCAAAACAGGGGTTATTAGCTCCATTCGGTAGAAAAGGATCTCATTCATTCCTAAGAAAGAGATCATCACAATAAATAATTATTTCATTAGGCAAGTCTGGAGTAATTCATCTATAAAACTGAAGATTATTTCAAATAAAATTTCTTTAAAAAGCTACAATGTTCCACTGACTATAACTATTTTTAAGCTATAAAAGAACATTTGCTAAAAATAAATTCAAATAGTACAAAAGAGCATAAAGTGGAAATGCTACTCTGCTCTCCACTCATTATAGCTAACTACTTTAAATACTTCATGTCAATGTACCATCCAAAAACACATTATCACTACCCACAAACCACCACAACAAATAAATAAATAAGAAAGATGATAAAAATGAAAACCAGGACAATACTTAAACTTCAATAGGGATAAAACAGTCTGGCCACCTTTAGCTCATGAGACAGTGTAGTAGCAAAAACTGATGTTAACGGCACAGAGAGAGGGACTCAGATAGTTTTGCCATATGCTTTATCTTTGATTTTTATCATGCTTGTTCAGCCAAGAGGGAAGAGCACTCTGGGTGCCAAATCATAGCCATCAGCTATTACTTAATATGTCTTCTCTCAACTTAAAAATAAGCAGCAGAGGCTTCTTAGGTACAGACAACTCGTAAGTGAAAACTAGGGAAAACCATTTTAAAAATGTACTTATATAAATCCACAATCAAGTTTAGTCTTACCTCCAGTTTCTACCTGGAGAGAGTCTGGTGTATCCTGAGCATCACAATCCCCCTCATCTATAATGGCTGCTGCTGCGCTGTCCCCTTCATTTTTTTCTGTTTCATGTTCACCAGCTAAAGATATGGCATGACACAGCCCAGGTTCTGGGTTGCTCAACTCCAGTGGCATATCCCCTTTGGTAACAGACATTTCTTGTTCTTCTGAATCACTGCTCGTGCAAGTGTCTTGCACGTTGTCATGAGAAATTGACTCCTGTGATGCCTCCACATCCACTGGTTCATTAACCCATTTTAGAAACTTTTCGACCTGAAATTTTAAGATGTTACAAGTACTAACCAATTCCAATTACACGGAATATTCCTACCTGCTTTACAATTTGTGACTTGACTGACAAGCTACATCACAACCATTAACTCTGATAAGTACACTGTATCACACAAACTAATGTGAATAAATTTAAGTTAACTGCAATTTCTTGTCTGGACACACTATAACCTTATTAAAGACTTCCTTAAAAGGAAGAAAATACTAGATTACACACAAGACTAGGACCTTCTTGGTATCAATTAACACTAAGAGGATAAAGCTAAACTCTTCCAGTAGCTCATAATGGCTTCTAACAATATAACTGTACTTTGTGCTATTACCATTAACAAATGTACCTACCTATTGCTGAATCATTAATTTTGATTTTTCAAATTATATAGAGCTTTCTGTAAGGCCCAGGCTATTATCTACATTAAATGATAATCAGTACCCAAGAGGAACTCTAAAAAGGTTTTGTGCCAATCTGTCTATAAGAATAAAAGCACTGCTATCTTGGAAAGAATGTAACCTGTCTTTCGATGAAGCAGTGGAATCAGTACAATGACTCCTAAAAACTAGGTTTCTTCTATTAAATGTTTACAAGGCTCAAGGTCTGAAGATATATACTTCCTTTCTATTTTCATACCAGATCTTCTTGAGGGAACCAGAACAAGAGTGGTAGGTAGAAGATGGGCAAGGACAACCACCTAGAATCTTCCTCTGGGGGGACTGTGCCTATACATCAATCAGGTATCTAAGGACACAGCCACATTAATTTTTTTCCCCAGTAATACTTTGCATTTATGTTTCTGCTCTTCATCTACAAATGGATATATAGGGACTCTCATATCTAAAACATTATAAAAAGTCCTATAGGACTGACTGAACTGATATTGGAAATCTGTTCCAGATATAATTAGGGTCAATAAAATATTTAAAATTATCACCAGCAACCATACAATCTGAAATATGGTAAAAAGGAGACTAGCTATACATTTGTAGTATGTTTTAGAAGAATACTGAAGTTGAGAAGAGTAATGTCCACTAGGGAAAAGACAAAGCCTTGTGGGGTCCGAGAATGTGTTCTGTTGGCTGAAAAGAGCTGCTGGAGATGTGGCTGCTACAAAGGTTCTGCTCACTGGAAGGTGCTTTTCTTTTTCTACAATGGATAAGATTCACTCATCACAACCAAGCAAAAGCAATTTTAATTACCTTTGTTTTCCAGGTAGTTGGAAGACAAGTACAGCAAAATCCAAGAGAGGGGATAGGAATAATTAACAATGTGAATCACCAAATTTGCCTTGAGTCTCATGTCATTAGGATAAACTTGTTAGAGCAAACTGTAATCATCACCTTTAGATGACCTCAAACTTAAGGATTACAATAAAAGTAGTATCAGAAACTGGATTTCCAGGATCCTACTTGGCCTAAAACAGATGAGCCACTTCCACTGTTGTTACTACATAGATAATGCAATATTACCCATTCATCTTCCCAGACTCTACTACTTTGTAGCTTTCAAAATACCCTTTTCATATTATCCTCAACTTAATCTTTTTCAAATGGAGTTCACACAGTATATGTCTTTAGGAAGCAAGTGGAAAAGAATCTTAGGTGCCCTTATGTCTAGTAGAAACAGGGTTCTCTTATGAAAACAAGAACTTTAAGGAGCCACGCTCACAAGATGAAATTCTATCTGGAAAAATAAAACAAATACATACCTTACTCAAAGCTTTACTTTTTTTGAAGCATGTTTTTTCTGTGTCTTCAGTAAAGAAAATATGTTTGTTTTTCATATTTATTTGTCTTCTCATGTCCAAGAACTGTGACTTGTATTTCACATTCTTCTGTACATACCTGACCCGCCTACGACTGAAATTTGAAATTCCACCGTATCTGTGACCAAATCAAATGAAGTTTACTCAAACCTTAAGTTCTAGGAGTTTGTTTCTTCATATGAAAAAAAAATAAACCTAGTGATTTTTACTATTTTTCTATTAGCAGCCACTATTTTAATTCCACTTTTCTAAATTAGGAAATTATGAAATAAAGTTCAAAATGCAGTTTAAAGTCTAGCTTGAATGTAAATTCTCACGTAGATGTGAAACACCAAAGTTGGGAATATCAACATATACAGAGTGGAAAGTAGAAGTTACATAGTACATATGTAATTAAGAAATAGCAAAAAAATATAACACCATTGCAATTGGTGAGGTGATGCCAAAGCTCTTTAACATATATCTGGATATGTTAAAATTATCTTGAAAGTGGCCACAAAATTCCTAACCCAAATCAATCTGAACTCACAAAAGAAGCAAATCCCTATTAACATAATGAGAGAATATCTTTGATCTAACCATCTACACTTTCCAGTCCTAAAATGCATACACCTACTATCAGACTATTAGAGACCAAGTGTAGTATATAATTTAGCACTTACAAACTCCTCAACAGTTTGGTTTTTAAATGCCAGGTATTATCTTCTAGCCGTATTCAAAACTTATTTGAAAAAAAGTACAGCTTACCCTACACTTTTAGGTAGAATTTGGTGTTGTAATTAGAGGAGAAATAATTAAACCCAAGGCAAAAGAATAAATCTCTAATGAGTGTATATCAGCAAGAGCTACCCAAATAGCTTCTCAAACTACATGTGGGTAAAAATAAATTCTGCCAGGAATTTAAACATGGCAATACCAGGAAAACTCTTTATGTTACTAATCTCTATGATCTTTAGTTTGAAATTATTATATGAACTACAACTGCTTTGAAATACCATATGTGAGAGATAACCATTGCAACTGAGAGATAATGTGCAACTATAACTAACAGTTATAATAACTATATAACTATACAAAATAACCATTAGTTATTAGTCATTCACAGTATTATAATTATGAGCATGTATTTCTGAACTAATTTGGATTTAATTTACATCATAGGAATGAAATAATGTCCTTTCCTCGCTGATTTCATAATGTGTAAGAACCCATAAAAATTTCACAACTAACAAAATATGCCTTAACCATTAGAAACATCAAAGACCAAACATCTTGGTTTGAATCACTGACGCAAATTGACATAAATGGTAGGTCTTTAGTATACTTTAGCTACTTGGTTCAGTGTTCATGTCATTGATAAAAAACTATTCAGTTTCCTTATATTTAATGCTTGGGCATTTAATCCAAGAACACTAATACATTCTGTACACAAAAGTTCATAACAGCTTTATTTGTAATAGCAAAATACTTTACATAATCCAAACGTCCTTCTATACATAATGGTTGAACAAACCATGCTATATCTATACAATGGTGTACTATTAAGAAATAAGAAGAAATGAACTAATAGTACATGCAATATTTATGTCCTGGGGGTACCTCAAACACATAAGCTTAGATCTTAGGAAACAATCTAGCTCTATATACAGGATAAACAATTAAGCACAGGGCCCAACTGAAAGGATTAGGTAAATGTATTGATAAGGCAGGCTGTTGAGGGCACACTGCTGAAGCAGAGAAGCAAGCTTAGACTATGTATAGTGATTCTATTTTTGTGTTTTATACGGTGCGTATATGTACACAGTCATAAAAACACACATGAAAAATTAGGAAGGATATATGCCACATATTGCTTAGCTCTGGGGAATGAGTTGAAGAAAAGATATACACTCTACTTGTTACTTTTGTTTTGTTTTTAGTTTCACTACTTTTATAGTGAAAAAGAAAACCAGTTACTAGAGATTCAAACTTTTCATGGCATGTTTGCCAAACACTTCAGAAATACAAAGAGTTACATGAGACACTAGGTGAAGAGAGAACCTATGCTTAAAATCTCAAAGGCTGGCCTTGACCTCATTCTCTCCAGGAAATAAAATGACTGTGACTAAGTCAAAACCTGTAAGCTGCAGTTGTGTTATTATAAACTGAAATAACAACACTGGATTGCTATGAAGTACAACTGAGTTAATATATGTGAATATATCATCAAATGTATGGTGATTATCACTATAATTCTTACTAATCAGAGGTTAGTGTCTTAACTGAAATATCTCAAAGGCTATAAAATACATACTCATTATTAGCTATCTGAATATCAGAGAGCTTTAAGGCAGCTGAAATGGTTAAGATTTAAGGATAACAGCATTTATGTATAATTACTTTTGTCCTGAGCCATGCTTGAATCCTAGAAGGGAACCACTGTCATCAAACTCTGAATCTGGGTTTTCATCGGGGTCCAGTTCATGGCTAGACAAACAAACAAATGGTGACAAGACATTATCTCCAGAACCCACATGTTCAGGGAAATATCAAAAGTATATATAGTCAACTTATGCAAGCTTTCCCATCACAATAATCAGCCACAGTCCACAAACCCAGGAAGAACAGGATTTTCCAAATGAGATAAAGTACAAAGCAGTGTTTGGAACACAAGCAATAAGCACCCAAATCTTAAATCCTGTTAATTATCTCTATTCCTGAACATTATAGAAATATGGATCTACTCATTCTCCTTTGAAAAAACACCAGTTAAAAACTTCAGCCTTACACCAATCTCCTAGAATGATACCTCTAGAGGTTTTTCTGAAAAATAAATAAGGAAATACTTGAGAAATATCAACTTAACAAAAAAAAAATTACAGAATATATTCTGTTCAGAAGAATAAGGTTATGATACAAATGATACTAAGTAACCCAGGATGCTCCATCTATTGGGGATAATTCTAATATTCCTACTACCTGGGAAACAATAACAAGTAAATGGAAATGGCGAGAGATTATTCTTGCAAATTAAATTATGCCCACTAGACACTTACGGTGGACCTATTAGGTAAAATATAAGGAACACTGGAGGGTCATGCTTTTATTTACTAAGATACTGAGCCTCTGAAGCTTGCTTACTCTTTTACTTTAAGCTATAGGGAACAAAGAAGTGTTAAATAAAGCACTGTCTGTCCTGTCACAGGAATGAAATGTGTCCAGCTCACGTCCTATTTCTTTTCTTGTAATTTACAGCATTAGCATTTAACCATATCTTACCTTACATTATTTTCGACTTGTTTAATTACATGTGTCAATGACACACTAGAAAGAGTACTGTCTTTGAAAGAGTTGGACTGGGCTCTAGCTTTAAAGCTGCCATTACTGCTACATAAATCTGGGCAAGGTATTTATCTTTGTTTTGTCTTATTGGTATAATGAAAGCATTAGAGCTGATGTATCTGAGATGTATTAAAATCCTATGACTATTCCCAGACTTCTGAAAAAAAAAATTAGAACTTCTTGGAGACAGACTGCACCTACTTATATACTACTAGTTGATAGCTGCTAAGTGTCAGATATATTATATGCTAGTACCAGTCTTCCCTATGATCTCACAAAAAGGCATCAGTTCCATTTTATAGATAAGAAATTGTGCCAGAACTGAAGAGGCAGTGTTGGGATCTGACCATATTCCAAAGCCCAGGGTCTTGTTTCTTCTCCTCATAGGATCAGCACTGCTATAATGTAACAGGCACTTTATAGCTACTCACTCATAGTCAGAGTTCTCATGCTAACACATTCTGAGAGAGAGGTAATGTGCAACTTGCCTCCTCTTGAGTTTGCTTGGCTTATGTTCTGGCGGATCTTCTTCACTGTCGTCTCCATCCATACTGTTGGGATGTGGTCTTTCTTTGACTGTGTTTGTTTCTGAACACTCCTGTGAATCTAAAGAGGCAGTTATTACTGTGGATTTTCATCTCTGGTTTGACAACTCTTCTGCCATTTGCAAAGGCAATCAAAATATTTCGGTGCCTTTCCTGCAATGAATGACATGTGTACACAAGACAAAGTGCCAGACCATATCTATCTGTTCTATGTACATCTACAGGTGGAACCGGAACACGAAAAAATTGGAGCTATGCCTATTAATGTTTAAAAGTTTCCATGATTTAGCTACTTGAAAAGTGAACTAAAACTACTCTTTCCTGATAACTGCCTAACTCCATACATTTTGATGAAATGTTAATCTAAGGGACTCTAAAGTTGGCATGATCACATTGATTAAAAAGTTATCTTTAGACTTCCGCCAAGATGGAGGCATAGGTGGAAACACTGTGCCTTCTCTCACAACCAAGTTTAAAAACAACAAAGTTTTAGCAACAAAAAATGCAGCCAAACCACCGAAAATTGAACTATACGGAAGTCCGACAACAACGAACCATTCAGACAGACCAGTAAGAGGGGCAGAGCCAGCAGCGGAGCGGGTTGGGCAAAAAAGATTCCCCGACCCAGGCATGCAGGCAGCCAGCCAAGGGCGGATCCCAAGTGTGGGGTAGCATTGGGCGGACCCAGTGAAGGAGCAAGGCGGCAGGCTGACTGGGGGTCACACATTCGAGCACAGATAAACCAGCGAAGGATTGAGTAGCGAGACAGACCGCGCAGGCCCCAGCAGCAGGAAGCAGCAGAGGGACTGCTACTGCTCTCTCTCTGACCCCGCCCCCACATACAGTGTCACAACCCAGGAATCTGGGTGGCCCCACCCTGGTGAACACCTAAGGCTCCCCTCCTCATATGTAACAGGCTCAAACAGACCAAAACATGGCTCAAGAAGAACTCAAACCCCTGGAGCCGATAACTCTAAGTGACCAAGAAATTGCCAGCCTATCAGATGCACAGTTCAAAACACTGGTGATCAGGATGCTCATAGAACTGGTTGACTTTAATCACACATTAGAGGAACAAATGAAGGATAAACTAATTAAAAAGGAAGGGAAATGCACAGGAAACCGATAGTGACAGAAAGGAAACTGGGACTCAAATCAAGGGAGTGGACCAGAAGGAAGAGAAAAATGACCAAAATAGGAAAGAATGAAGAAACAAGAATTCAACAAAATGAGGAGAGGCTTAGGAACCTCCAGGACAACTTTAAACATTCCAACATCCGAATTATAGGGGTACCAGAAGAGGAAGAGGAACAGCCACAAGTGGAAAACTTATTTGAACAAATAATAAAGGAGAACTTCCCCAATCTGGAAAAGGAAATAGACTTCCAGGAAATCCAGGAAGCTCAGAGAGTCCCAAAGAAGCTGGATCCAAGAAGGAACACACCAAGGCACATCATCATTACATTAGCCAAGATTAAAATGAAGGAGAGAATCCTAGAAGCAGCAAAAGATAAGGGGACAGTCACCTACAAAGGAGTTCCCATCAGACTGTCAGCAGATTTCTCAAAAGAGACCTCACAGGCAAGAAGGGGCTGGAAAGAAGTATTCCAAGCCATGAAATCCAAAGACCTACATCCAAGATTGCTCTATCCAGCAAAGTTTTCATTTAGAATGGAAGGACAGATAAAGTGCTTCTCAGATAAGATCAAATTCAAGGAGTTCATCACCACCAAGCCCTTATTATATGAAATGTTAAAGGGACTTATCTAAGAAAAAGAAGATTTAAAAAGATGAACAGTGAAAGGACAGCACACTTACAGTTATTAATAACCGCACCTAAAACAAAAGCAAACTAAGAGGACAGCTAGATTAGGAGCAAACCATAGAAATGAAGATCACATGGAGGGTTAGCAATAGGGAAGTGGGAAAAGGAGAAGGGGGGAGAAGGTACAGAAAATAAGTAGCATAGATGGTAGGTAGAAAATAGATAGGGGGGAGGGCAAGAACAGTAGGGGACATATAGAATCTAAAGAACTTGAGACACGTGGTCATAAACGAAAGGGGGGAATGGTGGGGGAAGGGGTGTGCAGGGTGGAGGGGAATGAAGGGGTGGAAACAGAACTGTAATGGCATAATCAATAAAATATATATTTAAAAAGTTATCTTTATTAAGAAGCTAATACATTTAATGGTCTATAACATTGCTCTTAAAGTAATAATGGAAGTAACAAAGAGAAATACCACCATTTAAAAAGAGTATTTTTAACCTTTAGCTCCAACTGAGGTACACAGCTGTCCTCGTTCTTTATTTCTTCAGACTGGAACAAAGGAGGTGGGTGAGACTAAAAGTGGAGAGGTGTCTGCAGTGTAGACAGTGGGAAGCTTCGAATGTGTGGGGGCAGACCACTTCAGAAGAACACCCAATCGCAAACAGTAAAAAAAATACTTATAGAAAAATGCAATATATATACCTTGTGTTTTGATCTCAAGGGTGTATCTTAAATAAATCAGAATGTAGAATTCTTAAATTAATCCTGATGGCAGTCCCACTACAGATAATTACAGAAACAAGCAATTATATACATAAGGAAATAGGCAATAGACATGGTCAATCTATACACACAGCTTAGGAAACAGATAAGAGAAGGCAGAAATTGTGGGCTTAATAGGTTTTACAAAGGAAAAAATGTAGGAAGGATACTAAAAGGGAGTAACACAAAGGGGCCAACGCATTGACCAATATACATAGTTCAGGCTTTACTGTCAAAACAAATTACAGGAAGTAATTAGAAAAGTATTGAAGAGTATCAAAGACTTATATTAAAAATCATATAAAAATTTGATAACAACTGAGAATATTATAGTGAATTAAGCTCTATTTTAAGAGTACAGAGAAAAGAAAAAGTAGATAGAGCTCTCTGATAACTCTCTAAGGGAAACTCAACTAGATAAGACCAGCAACCTAAGATGAGCAAAGAAAACCTAACTGTTAAATATGTATAAAACGCCAAAACCTTTCACTTCATATATGAATAAGGGTGGGAAGAAAGTCCCTATGTGCCCGACTTTTCCAGTACCAAACATCAAGGATGCCAAGATAACATACATGTTAGTGGGCTTCAGGAAAAACCTGAAAGTCCTAAACATTTCCTCATCTCTCATTTTCCTGGAACCATCAGTTGGTAGTGCCGTTTTCCCAAGCGAGACCATTCTTATCTAGCCTACTCTTCCTTATCTTCACACACTTCTCACTAGCTTTCTTTAGTCTTCACAGTGGTACCAGTCTGCATGACAATTAACTTTTTTTTAATCACTTAGGCAGGAGTCAACCAAGTTCTTATCTTGGATATTTTATGAGAATCCTGAAATCAACCCTTTCAGTTATAAATGAATATAATTTCCTGTTTAGATTCTCTTTATAGCAAAACTTCTCGTGTTTCAACTGAATTCCAGCTATGGCTCTCATTCAGATTTGCCTAATATCAAAGGTGCTCTCAACCCCTTTCTTATGTGCCTCCTATAAACTAATTTGTTCCAGAGAAGCTTGGACATTTCAAAATCACTCTAAATTAGATTTCTGACTTAATTAGAAATTTCCAAATTTTAATTTATTGGCCACTAAAATACAAGAGGAAGGAATGATACTTTGGAGAACTCTGTGCAAATATTCTTTTTATTTATATAAAAGGGTAATAAACAACTTGTGATATAAAAATAAGATTAAGTAATTTCATTGTAACATAAAATGTGGTTGGCATTATTTAACGCTACCATAAAGAATTAGTGTTAGTTATTTTGCTAAATAGATTCATTTAGTTAACTGTTCCTTAGTAGAATAAATCTTGGTCAGTCTTACCCTTGGCCGATTGGTTTGTGCTTCTATTCCCAGACAAGTTGCTTTCCTCGGTTCCTTTACCATGAGGTTTGCTTTCACCAGAAGCAGGGCATTCTCTTCTGCTGTTAACTTCACTTAGCCACTGATGTCCATCAGAACTTACAATTGACTCTAACTGGCTCTCTTCTACTTTCCCTGAATTCAGCCTTATGTTCCTAATTCCATCAAGTACTTCATTATGATCTTTATCACTTGAACTAGAGCTTTCGCTACCAACTGATGAAGATGGAAATGACTGTAAGTCTGCTTTCACGCAATCTTCATCTTTCTCATTGTCATCTTCTGTTTTAGACCCACACGTATTTGTATCACAACTTTGTGAATCATCAAAAGTCCAACCCTGAGCTTCCCAATACTGAAATTGTTCTAAATAATACCAATAAAGTTGACTATAGTGCTGTTCCCATTCTGCCTTGGTATCAGGAATGTTCCAAGGTTCAGAACACAGTGTTTGATCTGAATGTTTTTCTTGCCAGCTTTGCCATAATAGTCCTCCACCATATTCATTCCAGTACTTTTCCCATTTCTCTGTAATTTCTAGCTTTGGAGACAATGTATTTTCAACAGAAAGATTTTCAATTTCAGTATCTTTTCTGGACTGAAGTTTACAAGTTCTGGTGTTCTTATACTGTTCAACTGAGGATGGATCATCTGAAGCCAAAATGTCATCTTCCTCATAGTCTTGTCTCAAAGATTCTTTAATAATCTCATCTAAGTACTTCTTTTGATGTTTTTTCTTTTTCTTTTTAATTTTAACTTTATTCCTGGTATTCATAGACTCCTACATAAGATAAATAACTTAAATATAAAATCCACTTCATAAACTAAAAGAGAAAGCAGAACCCAAGTCTACTTTGACATTAAATTAAACAAAATACCCTCGATCCTCCTCCACCACCCTGGGCTTTCAGTTACACAAACAAGTGAATCTCGTGACCTAATTTTCCAAGAGCAGAAAAAAAATCACATGTAGAACACATCACAACTTACAGTTTTGGTTGATATATGAAAATGTACATTACAAAAGAGGTGGAATGTTCTAATTCATAAATACATTAGACTTGGGGTTACATAATCCCATATGATTTTACAAAGAAATCTAATAAATAGAAATAATAAAAGTTAATACTTACTTCAAAATTCTTATGTGCAGACATCCCACCAAACTGAAGTGGCAATCCCATACTTCTCATGAGTTCGGCCTCAGAATCAAGTTCACTTTCATCCAGGCCTATTCTTTTGCTATCACATGATTCTTTAGTACTTTGGGAATTATCACCTTCTTCCTCTTGGTCTGTAGCTTGGTCTCCTACAGATAGCATTTGTTAGCTTAGACTGAGAAAAAATTTAGATGCAGGCTTTATCATCATTTTAATGAAGAAAAACCTGAGACCCAGAGTTATAACATGACTTGCCCCAAGTAAAGATATACAAATGTTATAGTTTTTAAGGATAGAAGAAAAAGGGAACTTATGGTAATCTGGATTAGTAAAAAAATGGCCAACTAAGAATCGAGAGACAATTTGTAGTCTGGCTCTACCTGCCATTAGCCATCCAGCTGCCAATTCAACTTACACAGACTGACCCTCTCTTCTGTGCTGTGCATTGCGCAAAAAGTACGGAGCACGTAAGAAGGAACACAGTACAATAACCATAAAGCAAACTTTTACACTTAACATTCCTTATCTGCAGTATATCTAGATTGGTGTATTTTACATAATGACTCATGGAGTTATTTTAGAAGCAGTTAATACGAGAGGTGAGAGCACGACTTCTAGCTCCTCCCAGGTGTTTCAACCACAACTAGATTTACACCCTGGAACTCTAAGGAAGAGCTGGTTTAATAAAAGGGCTCTGCTATTAAATGTCTGAAATCAACTGAACTGGAAGATCCTTTCAAGTGTCCAAATTCTAGTTCTTATGGAAAACCTGTTTTATTATAACAAAACAAGTTTAGCTTTATCCTAATATGGTTATCTAAGTGGATCAGACCACTAATTGGACAGATGTCATGCAAAATGCTCTATTAACTGTTTAAATGAGAGATAAAAATCACTTTATGTATCAGCATACTCAATTAGGACTGAGCTGCCCTCCAGATAAATGATTTTAATGATTTTAGGAAGCAGAACAGTGAGTCTTACAGAGAAAAAAAACCGACACTGAAAAAAGAAAGAAATCTTATATATGCAAATTCTACTATAAGAAAAAAGGAGCAAAGATATCTCTAAATAATGAAGGGGACTCCATTCACCACTTCATTCAATGAACTTATGAAAGCTCAGGAGAGAGCAAAATAGGAAAAATGGAACAACTAAGTTTTATGATCCTTTCATGGTATACATACTTTGGAGTCTGTTGTAGTCTAGTATCAAAATTAATTTTATTTGTACTAAATAACACTGAAAAACAAACCATTTCATCCAGTATGCAACTAACAAAACAGTGATTTGTTTAACCATTATGAAAGTTAAAGGATTTTCAAGGGTAGTATGACAGCCTACTTGTGAAGGTTTGAGCCCACATCATATGCTGCAGTTTTCCCTGTGTGCAAAGAAACACGCAGGACTTGTGTGGAAAGAACAGGGATAGTGAGAGAGACCAAGATGGTTTTCAGGAGGCTGGGCAAAGGTCTAAGTATAGAACAAATCCTATTTGTTATTTGGGAAAGTTAACCCAAATTGTGGCCCTTTTACTTTTGGCAAGACTATGATGTTCACTTGGAATTTACCCCTAATCATTTGTTTATATAGTTGTTAAAGTAATTAAACAAGGAGGCCCTTAGATGAGATGGCTCTAATGCCTTAGTAGCCAACCCAAACAAATCAAAACCTAAGCTACAGTCAATGCACTTCAACGTGAGAAAATGAAATTTAAGAACAGCCAATCACAAACAGCCAACTAAGCTTTCCCAATTAAGGCAACAGCTTAATATATGGTCAACCAAATAATCTGTTTTGCTTCTAAAACTTCTCTATAAAAATACTCCTCCCAGTTCCTGTCAGTGGAGTGATCCTAGCCATCTTTGGTTTGGTACTGCCCAGTCTGAATCACTGTATGCTCAAACAAAGTCTTGAAATATTTTAGTGTGGCTCTGTATACCTTATAATGCCTGATAAAAATCGGCAGAAGAAACTATACGTCCTCTACCTTTTCAGAGCCTCAATTCTCAGGTTGTTTTTATCTAATGGTGACAACTCAGGAAGGAATGCTACACGAGGTATAGGAGACTACTATTTCTGGTCCACACAGGAGCTTGCTGTAGGAAAAAAAAAAAGATCTGCTTTGATAAAAATTCTAGAACCATGTTAGAATAGAAAAGAAGGGCTGTCTACTATTACAGAATTTTTTTTGCCACATAATATTTTATGCTAAGAAATTAGTACAGTAATATAACAAATTATAATACAACATCATGGTTAATTTTATCCAAAAAAGGGGGGTTATGTAGCTTTACACTATATTACCTGCATTGTTGCCATTGCCTTTAACATAGTAGCCTTTTAATCCCAAATTGCATAATTTTCGATCCCTGTGAAGCAAATTAATCAGTCAATATTGGAAAAAAATTAAATTATAAATTTAGAGAAAAAAGTTCAAGGCAGCATAAATTAATAATAAGGTTAAGGAACAGAAAAGCAGTGTTAATACATTTTTCCTCATCTGTGAGACAGAAGTAGTAACACATTATCTCAGGGGTTGTTTAAAGGATTGACACTAGCTGTAAAACATTTAGTATACACCTCATGGCAAGCACGGGTAATTATAACTACTAATTATTAAAAATTAAGTGGTATTCTGGATATTGGGGGAAGAATCCAATCCCCCTTATGCTAGACTAAAACAATAAAATGCTCTCTAAATTCGCTGTACAAGGAAAGCACAAAAGTGTAAAAATTTATCTGACACACACATGAAATCCACATGCAAACCCTAGGCCATATGCAAATAGGCCAAATTATTGACTTCATAGTTGACAAGATATTCATGGTACAAGCAAATGTTTTGGAGACTAATATAAAATGAATTTCTTATTTAAATATTTTATCAAACTAAGACATAAGTCTGAAGAAAACAATCCAGTCTCAATGACTTTTGAAACAATAAATGGTTAACCTTTTTTTAAAAATGATTTTCATAAAACAAAACTTATTGAAGAATTGCCTTTAATTCTATGACTTGCATGCATGCCCCTTTTCTGGGTTAAAATTCTGTTTGTTTGTTTGTTTTGAAATATATTGATTATGCTATTACAACTGTCCCATTTTTCTCTCCCCTTTATTCCCCTCTGTCCTGTACCCCTGTCCCACCATCATTCCCTCTCCTTAGTTCATGTCCATGGGTTATACATAAAAGTTCTTTGGCTTCTCCATTTCCCATGCTATTCCTAACCTCCCCCTGTCAATTTTGTACCTACCATTTATGCTTCTTACTCCCTGTACCTTTTCCCCCATAATCCCCCCTACCCCCTGATAATGTACCATGTGATCTCTATTTCTGTGAATCTGTCCCTGTTCTAGTTGTTTGCTTAGTTCATTTTTGTTTTTGTAGGTTCATCTGTTTTTTTAAAATATATTTTATTGATTATGCTATTACAGTTGTCCCATTCCCCCCCCTTCATTCCCCTCCACCTTACACACCCCCTCTCACCCACATTGCCCCACTTTAGTTCATGTCCATGTGTCATAAGTTCTTCAGTTTCTACATTTCCCCTACTATTCTTACCCTCCCCCCTGGCTATTTTCTATCTACTGTCTATGGTACTTATTCTCTATATCTTTTCCCCGTCTCTCCTCCTCCCACTCCCCTGTTGATAACCCTCCATGTGACCTCCATTTCTGTGGTTCTGTTCCTGTTCTAGTTGTTTGCTTAGTTTGCTTTTGTTTCAGGCATGGTTGTAATAACTGTGAGTTTGCTGTCTTTTTACTGTTCATACTTTTCATCTTCTTTTTCTTAGATAAGTCCCTTTAACATTTCATATAATAAGGGCTTGGTGATGATGAACTCCTTGAATTTGATCTTATCTGAGAAGCACTTTATCTGTCCTTCCATTCTAAATGAAAGTTTTGCTGGATAGAGCAATCTTGGTTGTAGGTCTTTGGATTTCATGACTTGGAATACCTCCTTCCAGCCCCTTCTTGCCTGTAAGGTCTCTTTTGAGAAATCTGCTGACAGTCTGATGGGAACTCCTTTGTAGGTGACTGTCCCCTTAGCTCTTGCTTCCTCTAGGATACTCTCCTTCATTTTCATCTTGGCTAATATAATGATGATGTGCCTTGGTGTGTTCCTTCTTGGGTCCAACTTCTTTGGGACTCTCTGAGCTTCCTGGACTTCCTGGAAGTCTATTTCCTTTGCCAGATTGGGGAAGTTCTCCTTTATTACTTGTTCAAATAAGTTTTCCACTTGTGGCTGTTCCTCTTTCCCTTCTGGTACCCCTATAATTCGGATGTTGGAGCGTTTAAAGATGTCCTGGAGGTTCCTAAGTCCCTCCTCATTTTTTTTTGAATTTTCGTTTCTTCATTCTTTTCTGTTTGGTTGTTTTTTTCTTCTTTCTGGTCTACTCCATTGATATGAATCCCAGTTTTCTTCCCATCACTATTGGTTCCCTGTGCATTTTCCTTCATTACACTTAGTATGAAGTAGCCTTCATTTTTGCATCTAATTTGTGACCAAAGTCAACCAGTTCTGTGAGCATCCTGATACCAGTGCTTTGAACTGTGCATTTGATAGTCTGGCTATCTCTTGGTCACTTAGATCTATTGGCTATGGGGCTTTGAACTGTTTTTCCATTTGAGCCATTTTTTGCGGGGGTCTTGTCGGGCCTGATACGTAGTGAGGGGCGGAGCCTTAGGTGTTCACCAGGGCAGGGCAACCTGTGTTCCTTCTGTTATGATGCTGTACGTGGGGCAGGTTCAAGAGGGAACAATGGCACTTGTTCAGCTCTCTCTTGGGTTTCAGTCTCTTGCCACTTCCCACAAGCAAACTGGGCCTTTCTGGTTCTGGTTCCTAGGTGGGTGGGCTTGTATATGTTCTAGGACCCTGTGGGTCTCTCCAACTAACTCTCCTGTGAGGCTGGGAGTCTCTTGAGGAACCTCAACCCCCACAAGTGTTTTCAATCAGTGCTTTTAGGTGTTATTTCTCAGTGCTGAGGCCCTGGGTTGCATGGTCCATCTTGCTGCTCATTTTTGTCTGGTTTATCTGTGTGCGAATGTTTGACCACGTCAGCCAGCTGCCTTACTCGCCTCACTGGGTCTGCTAGTTGCCACCTCGCACCTGGGTCCACCAGCCACCGGTTTTTCCTGCCGCAACCACTCTCTGCTGGTTGCCAACTCCGCCCCTCTTACTGGTCTGGATGAATGGTTGTCAGACTTCTGTATAGTTCAATTTTCTGTCAGTTCTGGTTGTTTTTTTTTGTTTCTAAATTTTTATCGTCCTTAATTTTGGTTGTGCGAGGGAGGAGGCACAGTGTGTCTACCTATGCTTCCATCTTGACCGGCTGGTGAAACTTTTCTTTACATATCTACTTCTAAATTTTTCTTTATCTACTAAGACTGGAAATTACATAAACAAAATTAACCTAACAGCATACTTAAAGCTGAAGAAGAGGAATTTTGCTATGATCATTTTAGCAGTAAGTTTTGCTATAATAAAGTCCATCATATCTGCCATAATAATAAGGCCATCTGCAAGTAATAGCTGATACTACTTTTCAATGCAGCTATAGTAAATTCAACAAAATAAAATTTTTGTGTACTTCATTTATTTCATACCCTGTTTATTTTTTGATACTTTACAAAACATGAAACAGGCAGTGACTCACAGTGAAGAGAGTGAAAAAAGGGGAGGAGGTCCTGGCTGGTGTGGCTCAGTGGATTGAGCACAGGCCTGTGAACCAAAGGGTCACCAATTGATTACCAGTCAGGGCAAATGCCCGGATTGTGGGGCAGGTCCCCAGTAGGGGATATGTGAGAGGCAACCACATTTTGATGTTTCTCTCCCTATCTCCCTCCCTTCCTCTCTCTGAAAATAAATAAATAAAATTTTTTTAAAAAAGAGGGGAGGGAATAAGGTGCAAATGTGCTTGGGTAGCATGCTGCATGCCCACTGGCTAGTCCCAAGAACATGGACACTGGTGGGGTGGGTGGAGCTTTAGCCACAAAGTGGACATTAATGGTGTGCCTGCCAGCACCCAAGGGTATGGTGCACCAAGGTATCCAGAGGAGGAAAGGGCAAAGATGGTTGGTTGCAAGAGTGGTTACACTGGGGAAATAAATAACGTGTTGAAGATAATGAGAGCCAAGGTTCTCCTACACACACATTTATTTGTGTATGTATGTTCATATCTGGTCTTCCAATAACATTCAAAGTCATTTCATTCATTTTATTAAAATGTTGATGCAATGCCATAGGAATTTAAGTTTTGTTTACATTAATTATCCTAAGGGAAAGTTGGTTTCACTATACTTTGTTTGCTTATGTCGAACCTATTGATGTTAAGTGAGGACTTACTGTATGTACTGACTAACCGTCTGCTGAGAGGGCTTGGAAGCAACAAAAACCCAGGAGTAAACAGCACAATGAGCAACTGGGTCTTGGTTTCTAAATACTATTCTCGACTCAAAGGAACCTGGGTACCTTGGAAAATGGCAATCCTAGGCTGGAGCATGGGGTGTAAAAGATATGTCTGGGTCATCTTATTGTGCCAGAAAGTAAGGAGGAGCTCAAATAATGTCAGGGATACATCCAAAGAATACAGGAACCATCTGAAGAGGCCCCCCACCAGCCAAATCTGAGACAATAATGATAGTAACAGTATATACCCTATAATGGATTAATAAGCCAGAGTGCATGTTAATATAAATAAAAGAGTAAATGAATACATGAAGAGAGAGGCAATGTGCTTCATATAGAATGCTAACTAATAAATGTAGACGGAATGATGAAGACAAAGAACAATCTTTGGCAACCTTTATAGGCAGTGGATTCAGGCAAGAATAGGGCACTGATATAACACTGGAATACCTCTCACAAAGTACTGATCCTAATTCATAAAGCGAGAGGCATCATTGTGACTTTACAGTGGAAACATCTGGGAGAGCTGGTTCTTTGAAAAGATAAACAAAATAGACAAGCCTTTAAGTAGGCTGATCAAGAAAAGAAGGGAACAGACACAAATAAACGCAATCAGAAATGAAACAGGAGAGATTACAACTGATACCACAGAAATAGAAGGGATTGTAAGAAATTACTATGAAGAACTGTATGCCAAGAAATTTGAGAACCTAGGGGAAATGGACACATTTCTAGAAAAATATAATCTCCCAAAACTCAATGAAAAAGAAGTAGAAAACCTGGATAGACCAGTAACAGCAAAAGAAATTGAAGCAGTAATCAAAAAACTCCCATCACACAAAAGCCCTGGACCAGATGGGTTCACAGGAGAATTCTACAAAGCATTTAAGGAAGAGCTAACCCCCATTCTTCACAGACTATTACAAAAAATCCAAAAGGATGGAAAACTCCCAAACTGCT